ATTTTCACAAGAGACGCAGTTCAGCAAACTGTCTCAGAGTGGAGGGGTCACATCTGCTCCTGCCATCACAGGGAGATTGCTGGCGTGTTGCTGCCACCCAAGCCCCGAATCAGAGGCATTTGTAATTGGTAAGAAGACAGGTTGTCACTTCAGAGGAGCTCTGCACCTTTGCCTTGCAGCAAAAGGTAGACCTCGTGCCAGGCAGCAGCCACATCACCATGCTGGGGATGCTCCTGTGGGGAAACCTGCTCAGCTTGAAGCCTCTGAGCTGGGAATGCTGCTGCTGGGAGGGAATGGGGCCCACAGGGTGGGTATAGATAGAAAAAGCGTATATATGAGAGAGAGAGAGAATCGTAGAATCATTAAGATTGGGAAAGACCTCCAAGGACAAGTCCAACCTTACATAGAACATATATATTCTATCTGTATGGGATACATACGTTTAAAAAAATAACTTTTATCTTAAAAAGGTGCTTCTAAATAACTTGCCACCTAAAACTAGAACCACTGCCGGTGTTAACTAGAAGATAATCTGCCCTGGAGACCTGAGCCTGGAACCTCCTGAAGGCAGCATTCAAAATGCCTAAAATAGCCAGCAGTGTTCTGTAGGCAAGCTGGAAAATAAGTTTTTGCTCTGCAAAAATTGGAATTGCACTTGGTCCCGATCAGCAGGTTGCAATCACCCAGCACTGCTTCACCTGCTTGTGTCACTTGGTTTTGTTTTATTTGAGCAATAAATACCTTAAATCTTCTCAGAGCTATTTCATGTCTTCTTTGGAGACTCATGGTAGTCCTACCAGGCATTCATCAAGGCTCCCAGGGAACCACCACATGAACTATTCCTCTTCTCCTTATCAATCAAAACAGTTTACTTAGAACTTTACTTTCTCCTCCTGAAGTAATCAAAATCTGATATTCCACAGATTGCAGAAAATTGTCACTGCTGTACTCTCTGCCGATCCATCACATGAAACAGGCGTAATTTGGGCACCAGAAGAGCATTAAATGTTTAAATAAAGCAAGAGAGTCCATTAACCGCTGCAGGTGACAGGGCAGGAAAATGTTTGGGTCACAGGTACGTTGGGAGCCGCAGCACAGCAGAGCAGTGGGACATCATCCACAGCCCGCAGCAGGCTCCAGGCTCACTTGTTCTTCAGCATATCCCTCAAACATTCAACAGGAACACTTAGGCCAGCAGGATGAAATGAAATTTTTAAGCTTAAGCTTCATTTAAGCCCTTTGTGGAAGGTGGTCCAGGAGAGAGTTAAAGTATCCATCGCTTTCTTGTAGCCTTGTTTTGAACCCTATTCAAGCTGCCAGTAGCTTTCAGGAGTAGCTTGTCTATTAATGATGAGGGCAAAGGCCATTTTTATGCCACAGAGTTGAGCAAAACATACTCCTTTGGCACCTCCAGTTCTTGAATTAACTGCTGTGACGGTAAATGTGGTGGGCAGGCCCTGTGTGACGAGGCTGCGTGGTGTGGGTGTGTGTGTGAGATGCATCCCGAGGCTCTGAGCAACCTGCTCCAGTGGCAGGTGAACCTGCCCACGGCAGGGGGTTGGAATGAGATGGGTCTTGAAGGTCCCTTCCCACCCAAACCCACTCTGTTATTCCTGAGAGGTGCTGGGGAACTTGGGAGTCCACCTTGAGCTGTGAAAAGTGACAAGAAGACTTCTCACAGTCACATCTCAGCCAGAGGGGTGGCTTATCTGTTTTATGAACCACCAGCTCCAGTGGACTGGGGAGAAAATTCTCCACAGAGAGGCGGTGGATGTGGGATTTCTTGTGCCTTTTTTTCTGTAGCAAGGAGCCAATCCAAAAGTCTCCTCTTTGGAGGAATTATGTTCTTCTGGCAGGTATTTTGATCCCCCTGTGACCGGACAAAGCATCAGCGAAGTAGATGGTTGAGTCGCTCTGGATCACAGACGTGACGTGTGTGCTCACAGCCCCCAGTTCTGTCCTCTCCTCTCCTCTTTGAGTCCAGTTGTGTTTAAAACCAATTTCCCCTTCCAGTAGAGATTCTCTGTGCGCCGTTTCCCTTTGCTTGGCGTTGTAAAGCAACCTCTGGTTTTCAAGGGAACAAACACTCCTGTGATCAGTGGAGTTGGGGGTGTCCTGCACCCATCCAGGGGCACGTCTGCCCTGCCAAATAACAAAAGACCCATTGTAATTAGAGTGTGAGCCTTCCTTTTAAAGGGTGACTGGCGAGGGGAAATTGCCAAGACTGGAGACAGTAATTATCAGCCTCTGCAAACAGCAGATCGATCTGTCCATCCCAATATCCCAGAGGGAAGGCGCCCCAGGAGCAGGGAGAGGGGCTGGATTCGAGGCCTCTGCACCGTGGAAGGTGCTGATTGTAGCTGTGGGCTTTTCTGCTGTTGGAAGCTCTCCTGCTGTAAACACAGCCCAGCCACCCTCGTCTCAAAAGGATCCTTAAACCTTCCTTTTCTCCCCGTCTCTCCCCTTCCACCGCTTCGAAAACACAGTGGCTGACAGTCCAAATGTTTGAAATAATTGGATTCTGCATTCTAATTCATCTGTAAAGTATTCGTTGATTAAATTAGCCTAATAGATATTATTTCTTACATGACTGCATAATTTCATCCTGATTGGATCACTATGGCACTAACGAGTCCCCCCATTTACCATTGACTTGAGAATCACAGAAGGCTGCAGATAACTATCATCTTGTTTCCATTTTTTTTTTTTTTTTCCCCTTTCCCAGGCTAAAAGTTAAACTGATTTATACTAAAAAGGCACACGGCCAATGCTCAGGTACATCTGTATTTTAGTCTTCAAGACCAGTGTTAGAATGGAAAAAATATTGGTTTATATAATCTTGAGCCCTCTTTTGTTTACTCAGTAGTTTGTTCAGAGGCAGAAAGATTAACTGACCGTTTAAATTCCTTTGGGGGTGGGGGGGAAGAGAGGAATGGAGATATTTTTAAATAAAAGGCATTTTATTATCTCATCAAAACAGATAGGCCCGTTGCAAATGAACCTCATAAGGACTTGCACACGTTCGGAGAAATGGAAATACTCAAAGATAATGTCTCAACGAGACTGCTTTTAGCCTCTATTAGTAAGATTTGTCTTTGAGCTGCAATTTGAGCGTAGCCAAGAGAAAGCAAGAGGAAAACAAAATTGTGGTTAGTTTCATGCTGAATGAGAGCAGATTTTTTTTTTTTTTTTTCCCCCCTAAGGAAGAAGGAGCTCCCTTGGAGTCTCCCGCTCCCCTGGCCACAGGGATGACACTCCTCCAGCTCTCCGTGTGCAGTGGGGGCTTTGTTGGGAAGGGGTTAACAGCACAATTGGCTTCTCCCCCTGCCCCAGTGGCTGGAAACAGCTGGTGGGTTTTGTGTTGCGCCGCTGAACTGAGCAGTCCAAAGAAGTTTTTTGGCAAACACTCGGCCCGCCCGGGACAAGAAGAGGTGGGTCAACCCAGGAAACCGTTTTCATGAGCAAACGGGGGAAACAATGCCCCGCTCAGCAGGGACAGAAGGGAGACCCGCTCCCGCTGAATAGCTCCCCCAGAAAAACCCGGCTCAAAAGGAGGAAGGCCCATTCGCTTCTGGGAATCCAATAAATTGTTTCAGGAAGTGAAAGTCTGTCCAGGCTAATGGAGCCGTGATTGACAGGTGGTTCTCATTACGGTGCCCATCAGGGGACAAAGTGAATTCCAATGTTATTTAAGAGGTTAAGTAGAAATAAGATGCAGGTGACAGCCCAGGGCTTGAGGCATCGCGCTGCGCTTCCTATGTTGTGGGGTTTTTGTGAAAAGCGCCCACGAAATTTAAAATGAGCAAAGGCAGGGGAGGTTTGGGAAGCAAAATTTGGTCCTACTCTGACTAAAGAGGAGCTTACCTGGCTGGGGAGCAGGGAGGTGGGGGTTGCTTTGGGAGTTCTTGCATTAGAGAGTTCCTGTTCCGTAAGTTCTTGTAGTGTGGATGTAAGGTCTGTCAAGGATGTGCAGCGAGGTGAGCTTCCAGCGTGGGCTGCCGTATCCCAGTGCTGCTGGACATCCCAGTGCAGGAGGAGGAGATCAAAGCACTGTGAAAGTTTGCAGTTGTTTGTTCTTCGTAGCTCAAGCTCAGAAGGTTCCAGAGCTCCCACAAGCACCTCCCATAGTGCTCCGAGCCAAAACAACTCTAGCTGTTGGACATTTGTCTTCTCCCATGCTTGTGCTGGGGCAGCTGACAAGCAAATCGCAGAGTGTTGACCTTAATTAGAATGAGTTTGAGGTAATGTGGAAGCGAAATACGTGGAGGCCACCTGGGGTTGGGTCCGGTTGCGTTGGTCACAGCCCCGAGGCTGCCAGAGCTCAAGGACTTGGTGGGATTATCGGAGAGCGTCTGTGCAGGGCCAGGGGTTGGACTCAGAAATCCTTGGGAGTCCCTTCCAACTGTGGATGTTCCATGATTCTGTGATAAGTTTCTGGATGTGCTTCTCCCGAGGTCTGAACCCGGCCTGAGAAGGAAGGGAAAACGCATTCCTAGTGACTCAGGTGTGCCCGACCAGGAGGCATCTTTCTGCTGCCCTAGGTTGTAAAGCTGAAACTAAAGGCCATTTCTGGCCTTGCTCAGCAAGAAATGAAGGCCAAGAAGAACACCCAAAATACAATCAGTGTTGCTTTGCATAGACTGTGAGCACCAAGGTGCGGTTTTAGCTGTGGCCAGAGGTTTAAAAGTAGATCCGTACGTATGCTGAGGGTGCTAAACCCAGACAGACTGGTTTATTTCTGCATTTTTCCTTTTTGAATGCCCAGACAAGCAAGCAACCGGGCGTCTTAGCACTTGTGGACGTGGTGGGGTAGGGAAGCTGAGGGATCTGCTCTGATTCCTGGCATTGACAGGATCTTCCATGGTGCGTGGTCAGGTGCAAGGATGTAATTTCACTGAGGGGTTGTGAGTGACGGTGAAACTCCCAGGTATGACGTGCGTAATAAATCTGGCTGGATGCAGAATTAATGTGGTATTCGCAATGATTATTTACCACTGGAGGCTCAGACGTGGCTGTGTACGAGAAGCAAATAGCTCTGCACGAGGAAGGGCGCCCAGAGGGGGGAAGGAAGGTACCTGCTTGCATTGTTTCACAAGTGCATTCCCGGGTAACACTAATGAAAATTGCTCTTTAAATGCAGGATTGATTTGTGATGAGATCAGCCCTAAAGAGTACATTTGTGGAATGATAACCTGATTGGTGGTGCTGCCTCTTGAAGGGCTGAAGGGGTCTAATTGGCATATAACGCACTATAAATTTATTAGCAGCCTCTGCTTCCCCATTGGTGGACCTCTCCCTGCTAACCACCAGGAAATTACCAATTTTCGGGAGTTAGTCACTCAAGTCGTGCCGTGTCTGGCTTTTAAACAGAAGTCTCTGTCATAAATCCCGGCTTAGGGCTCTTCCCTCGACAGCCACGGGGAACGGGGTCACTCGTGAGGTGGACGCTGGAGCGCCGTGGGTTTGCTCCTCCACTTGGTCCTCCCTGGCTCTCGTCCCTGCGTCCCACCTCCTTGCCACAAACCCAAGTTACACAAAGCCCATTAGGAGGGAACTAATCAGTTTGGCAGCCCTTGGGCTGCAGCTGCCACGAGACCAGAAATCACAGGTTTTTTGGCAGTTCACGTTCAAGGGCTTTGATGGTTCTTATTGATACATTCAGCCCCCGGGGCATCTCGGGCAGGAGAGGACATACCCACTGCTCATTTTTTTTTCCAGGAGCACAATAGGAATATTCAGGAGCCGGTGTAATCATTTCAGTGACTTTGCTTTTAAGATTGGGTCACAAATTAGAAAATAATATTCACATGTTTCTTCTAATTGGTAACAGATTAGGGATATTTTATCTTTTTTAAATAATTTCCAAATGTGGCCCGAAGAGGGATTTGCAGAGAAGTAGCTGGGAGAGAGAAGGCGCTTACACACCGACAGCACTTGGGCAAGAGGCTTTAATTCTTTAATTCTGGCTTTAATTCAGCTTTGAGGTCCCTGCACACCTCTCTCCGAGTTGCTGTCGAAGTGGAACTTGCTGTCACTTTTGGCAGGTGGCTCCAGTGCGGGCAGATTTTCTTTGCTGGCAGGTTTTATGTGGGTATTCCCACTGTTAAGCACCAACCTTATGGCTTGTAAATCATAAAGGCCTAAAGGTTTGCAAGTGATTAATAGGCAGAGGTGTGCAATTAGAAATGCCTCAGCAGGACCTGAGCGCTCCAGTATCTTCTGAAAGCCGAGTCCCTGTCTAATCCCACCTTTTGGGGCACATTTGGCAACCCCAGGGTTGCACACCCCGTTATTGAAAACACACAGACAAACAAGGAAAAGTAGTGGTATCTCATTTTTTAGGCACAGAGGAACCTCATGGATTTCTGTGGGTGTTCACTGCTGATGATTTCTGAAGTCTTTCTCAGTTACTCAAGTTAATTTTTCATCCACTTGGCTTTTTCAGAAACATGAGTGGCTCTACCAACAACCTTTTCTTTGACTAATTACAGTTTGTGGTTGGAGAAAGGCATCAAACACCAGTAGAGCTGAGGTGGAGGGGAGTCCCATCGCTTGCTGAATAGAGGGAATACCTCAGATCCAACTTGCCACGAAGGGCATCATTTCTACTAAATGAAAATGTCCAGTAATAAGTGCGACTCGTGGAAGAGTCTGATGACATGAACAGTTCCTGCGGAGCCCTTGCCACCAGTGAGGTGTAAGAGGCAGCCAAAGCAGCTGAAGAAGTAATCAGTAGAGGTGGTGTGGTGGAACAGAAGGGAAGATGTGTCAGAGAGGAGGAGGAGGAGGGTATGGGATCTGTATCCCAGGCAATGAGCAACAGGACGAGGGGAAGCGGCCCCAAGTGGTGCCAAGGGGGAGGTGAAGGTTGGACGTTAGGAAAAATTTCTTCCCTGAGAGGGTTCTCGAATTGCAGGTGAGGAGACAGAAGGGAGCAGAGCAGAAGGGAGGGTTCCAAGTCACCCTTGAAGAGTTGGACAGTGGAGAGGTCCCTGTAGCCTCTTGTGGAACGTGTGTCCCAGAAATGCTGCCCAGCCCTCAGACCTCCTGCTGCAAACACTGCTGCCTCCCACTGCTGACTTGTGCGGAGCAGGCAGTCGTTTTTATTTGCTTGCTGCTCCAAATGTGTTTTCCTTCACAGTCTGTGCTCTAATACAACGTTTATTACTTGTATTTTCTCTTTTATGCCTTACATAAATTCAGTGTAATGTTGGAGAGTGGTTTTTTCCCAAATACTCCAAAGAGTGTCATCTTATTGCTTCTGCTGGAATTAAGGTAATATTAAAGCCCCCCTGAAAGGGCTTTTGTTTTTCCTTGTAAACCAAACTGTGGGAGTTATTGCTAACAAAGGATCAAAACTGTCAAGTAAATTCTGGGAGATCTTTGTGCAGCTTTGTGATTAGCCCCTCCTCTTCCAGTTTTTGATCCTGGGGCGAAGATTGGCTTCTCCTGGAGCCCACAACACGAGGTTTTTTTTCCATTTTCGGTTAGACTTGATGATCTTAGTTTCCAACCTTAATGATCCTGTGACTGAAGCCACCTTTGTGTGCTAAGCAGGCCCTCACCTGAGCTCTCTGTCTCCTACTCTGCAGGTTTGTCAGCCCTTTGGGCAGCCTCTGGAAAGGATTTCCCCCCACCCCGATATTTAGAAGGTGCTGGTGCATTCCTGATCCTGCCACTTCTCCACTCCCCGGCAGGATCTGCAGAGGAGAGGCTCCATTTTCTCCTCCTCTCTGCTGTGTTTGTGCTGGGATCTGCTCCAAGGCAGATCACATCAGCTGTGAGGGACCTCCCTGTTCCGTGCCACGTCCCTCAGGGGTGGGGGGAGCCTCACTGGGCCACCTCACTCCACTGCTCGCCTGGCACAGATTATTGAGATTTATGCACTGAAATATCTGTGTAGTGTACGAGAGGATTTTCATATTTTTTTCCTTTAAAAAGAAAAAAAAAAAAAAAGAGGAAAAAAGTATGTAATGATTTCCTGAGCTCTGTTTAAAGTGCTACTGCATTAAGTATAGCCTTCCTATAGGAGAAAATTAGTGTTAACAAATTGCAAATTAATGGAATCTTCTAACCTGAGTGACTGTATATCAAACTGCAAATTGAAATTTCCAGTCTGTGTTTAGGTACTGGCACAATGCAATTTGATTTATACACTTAAGACATCAGGTTAAGTACGGTTACACATGAATAATGAAATGCATTAGGTGCATATTTCCAATTACTATTCCCTGCATATGTATATTTATTACTGAAAACAAGCGAGAAGCAAACACACTCCTTGGCTTTAGCATTTCTGTGCAACTGTATGGGGCAGCTTTTGGCTTTTTTTATTTTTTTTTAGGTGACGTTGGTGGTGTGCCCCAGTGTGACCACCCAAGAAATGGAAGCAGCCCACTCGTGTCTAGAACCACCCAGTGATAGCTCACTTATTAGCTTT